TGCCGGCGCTGGCGCCTGCGGCGGCGGGCGGCGGCGGCGGGGAGCGTCGACGAGGACGACGGCGACGACGATGACGACGACGACGACGCTCCGCCACCGCGCTTTGGTTTTGGGTCAGAGTCAGAATGGATGCCTCTTGGGGTCTCGTCGGAGGGCTCTCGGGGGCCTTTGAAAGGCATTTGCGAAGCCTCCTGGGCACCTCTTCGGCGTCTCTTGGGGCCTCTCTGAGGTGGTGGTGGTGGTGGGCAGTGGTGGTGGTGGCGGTGGTTGTGGCGGTGGTGATGGTGGTGGTTTGTGGTGGCGGTGGTGTGGTGGTTGGTGGTGGTGGCGGAGGTGGTTGTTGTGGTGGTTGTGGTGGCAGGTTGTGGTGGTGGTGGCGGTGGTGGTGGTGGTGCGGTGGTTTCTGGTGGTGGTGGTGGTGGTGGTGGTGGTGGTGTTGGCTGTGGTGGTGGTGCGTTGAGGTGGTGGTTGTGGCGGTGGTGGTGTGGTGGTTTGTCGTGGTGGTTGCGGTGGTGGTAGTGGTGGTGGTGGTGGGTTGTGGTGGTGGTGCTGGCGGTGGTGGTGGTGGTTGTGGTGGTTGTGGTGGTGGTTTGTTGTGGTGGTTGTGGTGGTTGTGCTGCTGGTTGGTGCTGATGGTGGTGGTGGTCGTGGTGGTGGTGGTGGCTTGTTGTGGTGGTGGTGGGCTGTGGTGGTGGCGGTGGCGGTGGTTGCGGTTGTGGTGGTGGTGTGTTTTTTTTGTGGTGGCAATGGTTGTTGTGGTGTTTGGTGGTGGTGGTGGTTTGTGGTGGTGGTGAAGTGGTGGTTTGTGGTGGTGGTTGTGGGTTGTTGTGGTGGTGGTGGCGGTGGTGGTGGTGGTTGTGGTGTGGTGGTTTGTGGTGGTGTTGGTGGCGGTGGTGATGGTGGTGGTGGTTTGTGGAGGTGGTGCTGGTGGTGGTGGTGGCGGTGGTGGTGGTGGTGTGGTGGTTTGTGGTGGTGGTGGTGTGGTGGGTTGTGGTGGTGGTGGTGGTTGTGGCGGTGGTGGCGTGGTGGTGTGATAGATTGTTGTAGTGGTGGTGGTGGGTTGTTGCGGTAGTGGTGTTAGTGGTGAGTTGTTATGGTGGTGGTGGTGTTGGCTGTGGTGGTGGTGGTTGTGTAGTGGTTTGTTGGTCGTGGTGGTGGGTTGAGGTGGTGGTTGTGGTGGTATTGGTGGTGGCGGTGGTGGTGGTAGTGGCGTGGTGATTTGTGGTGGTGGTGCTGCTGCTGGTAGCTGTGCTGGTGGTGGTGGCGGGTGGTGTGTGGTGGGTGGTGGTGGTGGTAGTGGTGGTGGTTGTGGCGGTGGTGGTGTGGTGGTTTGTGTTGGTGGTGGTGGGTTGTGCTGATGGTTGTGGTGGTGATGTCGGTGGCGATGGTGCTGGTAATGGTGTGGGTGTTTTTGGTGGTGGTGGTCGTGGCGATGCTGGGTTGTGGTGGTGCTGGTGGTGGTGGCGTTTTTGGTGGTCGTTGTGTAGTGGTTTGTAGTGATGGTGGTGGTTGTGGGGGTGGTGGGTTTTGGTGGTTGTGGTGGTGGTGGTGTGGCCGCCACCGTGTTTTGGCTTTGGGACAGAGTTCTAATGGATGCCTCTTGAGGTCTCGTCTGAAGGGTCCCAGGGGCGTCTGAGGAGCATGTGTGAAGCCTCGTGGACGTTCCTAAGGGCCTCTCTGTGGCTGCTGGGGGGCGAGGGCTCGATATAGCGATTTGTGTGTTCCCTCTGCGGCCTCTGGGCCCTCTCTGGTGATCGTCGCTGCGTCCCCGCCGTCGGCGCTGCTGGCGGCCGCCAGCGCCGGCGCCAGCACCGGCGCCGAAGGAGGGGGGGGAGGGTTTAGAACCCCCCCCCAGGGAGGGGAGGGGGTTCGGGAGGGGTGGTTAGGGAGATAGGAGTCCCCTTGGTTCTGATCGACGGCGCAGAGTGTTGGGAGGGGGGCCCACCCCCCGGTTCGAAACGCGCCGCCGAATATTCCCAAGGCGAGCGCCCGTGAAACGCGGTCTCTCTGATACATATATGTAATTTCATTATGTATATATACAGATATAGATAGAGATACGTACATACATGCACGCATACATATATACATATTTACAGACATACACATATATATATATAAATAAACATCAGCCAACGTTGACTCCACATAGATAGATGGACAGGAGAAGAGCGAGAGAAGGAGAAGACGAGGAGTAGAGGACGGGAGGAGAGGAAGCCAAGCATGAAATGGCAAGCAAAAAGAAGCGAGCAAAAAGAAGCGAGCAGCCATGCAAGTACGGAGAGCCATAGGAGTAAGCTTGGGCAAATCAGGGGATGGGGGGTGGGGGGTGGAAAATGATGATGATGAGGTGGAGAACGGTGACGATGATCGCTGACGATGGTGATTGCGACGGTGAAGGCAGTGATGGCAATAACGCGGGCGTTTTTTTGTGTAGGATCGCGGTCTTGCGGGTCTCGCCTTATCGCCCTGTCTCTCAGGTGCGCAGCGTCGGTGCGCCGAATTTTGTCGCACAACGGCGGTAATTGAATATCTTGTATGCGTGTCTCCACGGTGTCGTGCCATAGGCATAGGCCTTGGCATAGGCATAGGCATAGGCATCCGCAGGAATCCACAGGAATCTCAGCTCAGGATCCAAAGGACTCCATGCGCATAGGCATAGGCTTTGGCAAATAGGCATCGGCATAGGCATAGGAAAACATACGATTCATACGAATCCATAGGACTCGCCATTGGGAATAGCGGGGGGGGCCATAGGAAATAAGGGGGGTGCCATTGGCAAAAGGGGGGGGGGGGAAGGGGGCGCCATTGGAAATAAGGGGGGACGGGGGTGCCATTGGAAATAAGAGGGGGCGCCATTGGAAAAAGGGGGGGGCCTAAAGACCAATTACATATGATGAGCTAGGACTCCTGTAGGGCAAGCTTATTCGGATAATATACATATGTGCATAATGTACATGTTTAGATGCACATGCTTATATACATGCGCGCACGCAAGTATCAGCCGCAGTGTCCTGGAAAAAGTGGCTGAGTCTGCAACGAGAGCACTCGAAGTCACAGCGGTCCCGAATGTTTTTCCCGTACGCTCCTGGTGGATTTGATTTACTTCACGGCAGGACCGAGATGGAGAATATTGACCGCCTTGACCGGTGTCGTGTCGGAGCTCAGGCCAGACAGAATCGTCACCAGAAAGGGTTGACCGATGTCACGCCAGAAAGGGCTGACTCTCCCCTCTCGCTGCCTTCTGCCCCCCCGTGGCTGCCCTCCCGCTCGATCTCTGCTCCCACCCAGGCTCCCACCTGGGATCCCCTTCCCTGGAAAAAGACCTCCCCGACTCCCCCTCATCAGCAGCAGCAGCAGCAGCATCATGCTCCTCCTCCATCCTACGCACGCGCCTCCCTCCCTGAGGCGCTCGAAGGGGGATGCGCCGCTACGGTCCGGCGCCGCTGATTTCTCAGACGGGCCTTCTGGTGGCGCCAGTTCCTGCCCCCCACCTGGGTGCACCACTCTTCCTGCTAGGGACAATCGCGGGCCATGGCCCAGCCGAAGAAGGCGGCGGCGGCGGCGCAAGACAGCACCAGAGCAGCGGATGATCCCGCTACAGGGGGGGGGGAATATTCACAAACAGTCCCAAAAAGTAATTTGGGGACTATCTTTGGAGCACTGTTTGGGCCATGTTGGGGCATTTGTTTAGGTATTTTCTATGTTTCGCCCAAAAAACCCCTCCAGGAGGACAGGCCCGACCTGAAGCTGGCCTGGGGCGAGCCCTGTTCCGTGCCCGGGGCAGCCATTGGCCGGGTCCCGGGCCCGTCCTCGGGCCGGGTCCCAGGGCTTCATGGTGTTGGGGCCTCGAGGGGTGCCCCGGGGGGCCTCTGGCGTCTCCTGGGTCCTTGCCTCCGGAGCCGACTACTGCTAAGAGCCTGCTGCGTGCATTCAATGATAGTAGATACGATATATGTATATATACATACATATGTATATGTAGACATGCATACATGCATACATACATACATACATACATACATGCATGCACACATACATACATACATACATACATACATGCATATATACATACATACATACATACATACATACATACATACATACATACATACATACATACATACATGCATACATACATACATACATACATACATACATACATACATACATACATACATACATATACAAACATACATACAAACATACATGCATGCATGCATACATACATACATACATACATGCATACATACATACATACATGCATGCATGCATACATACATACATACATCGCCGTGACGAAGGTTTCTTTCAATTTGCCTTTCGGAATGAAGCGCTCGTGCGGAGTAGTTCGGAGTAGTTGTACTAAAACTACTCCGCGCGCAATCCCATCCCGCTCGATAATTTATATGTTTTAGCGCGGAGTAGTTTCCGATCCCGTTTTGGGGTAGCAGAGTTATTAACGCCTCTGGGATCGGAAACTACTCCGCCGAATGATCCCAGCATCATGTCATGTTGGGAATATTGAGAGGGATGGGGGAGATCTTCATCATAGCAAGTTGAAGAAACTTTTGTCACGGCTGTGTATATGCACAGACATACACATACACACACACATACATCGGTACCAGCGCGCACGAATAAGATGATGACTGGAGCCAGCTGCATTGACAGCTTCGCCCATCGCTTCGCACACAAAACATCTGCTCGACGTGAATCTTGGAAGTGAGCCAAGAGCTTGACAAATGCCTGTCACGTCACACGGACGGCGAAGGGAAAGATAGTTCAGCGGAGGTTCCGATTGTTGTGATCTCATGCTGGTACGACTCCACTCGTTTCGTGAGTCGGTTTCTCCCCTCTTTTGAGTCGCATTGCTGCAGCATGGCAGTGTTGGCCGCACGCACGCATCACTCGCAATAGAGGGCCGCGCACAACGTGACGACTCCTGCTGTGCCCTCGGCACGACCCGCCGCGCGCCGCGGCGGCGGCGCGACCCCGAGATCGAGCTCAAGGGGGCCAAGCTGATGGAGCAGGGCCCGCCGTGCTTCATCTGGACGTTCAACATGCAGCAGGCCGTGCCGCCCACCACGGACGCACCCGCTGGCCGATGGGCCGCGCACGGCCCCGCGACGGCTCCCTGGCCGGCTTGGAGGGGGCAAGGGGCACCAACGCCCTACCCCACCCGTCAGGCCGCGAAGGCAGCCGCGCTTCGCGGCCTCGGCCGGCGAGTTTTCCGTCTCCAGGGAGGTTGGACGAGGCGAGAAGATAGGCGCGCCTCGCGCGATGCGAAACTCGAAATCAGGCGACCCAGAGGTCCTGGACAAGAGTTTCAGTTCGTCCTTGTTAGGCGGCGGCGGGATAGCTTACTGACTTCGTGGCGGTGGCTTTCCTGTTGACTGACAGATTGCGTTGAAAGTTAACAGATGCTTCACGGAAGCCCACGGAGGATACATTGCACGATTCAAATCACTTGTTTTTGTTCATGTTCGGAAACAGCTCTTCAATTTGTCAAACGTAATCGAAAAGCTCCTCAAGGCGGGGGATTCGTGAGAAGCGCAGCGTAGCGCACATTGTTCGGCCACTTGCGCCATCCTCTGTTTGTTCACCAGTTTCCGCTCCTGGCGCCGTGCAGGTAAGATACATTTCGAGGGCGCGTTGTAATGATTCGGCGTTTCCTTGGAACCCTCGGCTGAGCCCTAGTGGCTTCACAACCTTCGCTCCGAGGTGAATTCCTATCCGACAAAAAAAAAAGGATTCTCTTAGCGTGCGTAAGACGATCTTGGCATTAGAGGCATCATAGAGCCGCGGTAACGCTCGGACTTCGAAGTGCAAACGCTTGATGAATGCAAAGTAACTCTTGGAGGTACCACTCCAGTCGAGCTAATCATGAGTTAGCTTCTGCTTGTATCAAACGTGTCTATGTACCAAGGGCGTGTCGGGTTCAGAATACGCGTTGCGTTGAGAGAGCGTTGCTTGTTGGCGGATGCCACGAGTCCGGCGGGATGTAACACTTGCTGCTTTTCTTGAGCGCATACACATAATGATGTTTGTTCGATTTCTTTGATGGTCCAGCGATGTTCAGCGATATTATTGTGACAGCTGACCGTGACCACAGCGTTGTATGACTAGAGAACTTACGCACTTTGTCAGCGATTTCAGCTTACGAGGAAATTTGCGTGGAACCATGTAAGATGCTTGCCATGGTTGCGGCGTTGCTTCCACGATCCGGCCATTTGCACCAAGCCCGCCTTCCTTGTGCAGGTAAACTGCCTCCGCGACAAGGACGGCGAGATCATCGAGGGCGCGGTGGCATTATCATCCTTCTCTTCCTCTTGCCTCCTCCACCTCCTCTCTCCCTCCCTCGCTTATTCAACCTTTACAGCCACACAACAAGAACACCGATTCCCTCCCTCCCCCGATCTTGCGCCAGCGCTCTCCCACCTCTTCCGCGCACTGTTTCCCACACAGCGGTTGCGCTAAGGGCCTCTTGCCCCTGTCGTAATCAAGTGAATGGGTTCCCCATGTTGTCGCCCCGTCGGGGCCCGTCGCCTTCTTCGTCCCGCCTCGCGTGTTGGGCAGGTTCCCCGGTTTTTCGCCGAGTCGCCGCCCGTCGTTGCCTCGTCGCCTCCCCCTGAAATAGCACCACCCGTCGCCGTCTCGTCTACGCCTTGTGTGTTGGCTCGGGTCCTCGGGCTTTCGCCAGGCGAACCCCTCCTCCACTCTCATCCCCCCTTCTCCTCCTCATCCTCCTTTTCCGTCTCCTCCCTCCCTCCTCCTCCATCCCCTTTCCCTTACGAAGATCCCCCTTGCGCACCACAGGACGGGTCCATGGGCCAGGCCTGGCGGCTCACATAGGATGTCGTTATACATGTTGCCATTTGAGAGGTAAGGGTTAACAATTGCAGGGATGGGGTGCCAGTGGTTTTCAAATGTGGTGTTCGCTTTAGAACCCTGTACATTCGCTTTCAAATTCGCCGACAGCTGCAAGGATGGAACGCTAGTCGTTTTCGACGTGTTGTTCTCGCTCAAGCGACGAGCACATTCTTGTTCAAAGCCCCCGACACGTGCAAGGATGGAGAGCCAGTCATGTTCGACATGTGGTTCTTGCCTTAGCGCCGCGCACGTTCATTCTTCATGCCTAAAGCCTGCACAGCAGCCTCAAGGATGAAGGGCCGAATCGATTTCAACATGTGGTTCTCCGTTGAGATTTCATCACATGTGAGGACCCGACGTTCCGACATGCGCGACGCATCGACGGATGGAGGGCGTTTGTTTTACAAGGTGGACTTCTTGCTTAAGAAGTCCGCAAAAGTTCATGGCCTGACTACCGTTCAAGTTCTATGCATTCTTGCCTGAGCATGTAGCAGCAGGGCGGGTCCTTGGCAAAACGAGTTCCCTCGCCCGAGCGTAAAGCCCACTGTCTGCACGCTTGTCCTTCAAGGGGATTGCCTCCTACGGCGTAAAAGGATTGCTGTTCGGGATTGACGATGCGGAAGAGGAGGAGGAGGAGGAGGAGGAGGAGGAAGAGGGGTGGAAGGATCAGGAGGAGGAGGCTGAGGACGAGGAGGAAGAGGGACGGGAAGGTATATTGCAACATCGTTGGCGCATCTCGGATTTATGATTGTCTTTCTCTGTCTCTTCCTCCTTCTCCTTCTCTCCCTCCTCCTCCACCTTGGTCACCTCTGTCTCCCGGATGGATTCCTGAAGGCCTGGAGGTTTCGAATGAGCAAGCAGATTCCGAAATCGACAACCGATTCGGAAAATCGAAAAGAAATAGGAAATCTAAAAGCATATCGTTGCGCACATATGATACTACAATATAGTAGTTTGTTCTACAAAATATTATAATATATATTCGTTGATATCATATCACATACTATATATGTATATACGCAATGGAATATGGCATGGCATGATCGTGTGTCCGTACAGCATGATTTAAAACATTACGAACAGGCACGACATTCAACAATACATCGTAACGTACTTTAGTTTAGCGCAGTATGCTTCCAATGTTATAAAATGACTATGACATAATGGGATTAAATGTAATGGACAACGATATGGTACAACATAACATATACTAAACGATGGTGCAAAACGGTATACAACAATATGAAACAACAGCTTATAAACAAACGCCATAGAACAAAACTATAACAATATATTGGAATGTGATGTATACGATCCGATTATGTTTAACTTCGTATAATAGAGTATCGCAAGATAACATACAACATGATATGGTAGATCATCAGCCATAAAATGTGGAATACAAACCTTTTGTGCTATAGTATGACATGCCATGTTGTGCTATAGTTCCACGTCGTAGCTTGTAGCCTAACCAATATAGTGCAATATGGCAAATTCGAACGTAGCGCAATATATAATTACATACTATATTATGTGACTTTACGACATAACCCTAGATACTGCTATACAATCTAATTTCCTATGAACACAACAATACCGTATAACATAATATTACGCCACGTACTATTATGTATGATATAGTATCGGTCCTCGGTCCCCAAGGGCCCCCTCAATCCTTCCTCTCCGCCCTCCTTCTTGTTCCGCCCTCCTTGTCCGCACACATATCCTTCGAAATTGACAGAACGGGGGCCGCAAAATAACGACCTCGATTCCTTGTGGCTACCTCGTGCCTCGGTGGCTGCAGGGGCCACCCTGTGCAGGGCTTTAGCTGCGGCTCTGCTGCGCAGGATATGGCATATGGAACTTCCTTTCCATGCTAGAGGCGCACTGCGCCACTAGCCTTCAGTCAGTCTTGTGAGAGAACGAGGGCTCTAACGGTTGCGCGATTTTGAAAACATAGCACAGCAGTCACTGGACAATCAGACAGCATGGCGCGAATGGTGTGCGTATCGTATCCACACTTCTTCTTTCTATAGCTCCCTTGTCGCACCACAGGGCGTGTCCGTAGACCGCTCGCTTTGGCGCCGCGAACACTCGTCTTAAAAGCTCGCAGCAGCTACAAGGATGTCGGCTCAGTGATTCTCAAGATGCGGCTTTCGCGCTAGCGCCGCGCACGTTCATATTCAAAGTTCGCAAGAACAACAAGGGAGAGGGTCGTTTTCAACATGTGGTTCTCGCTTTGGTGCCGAATTGTGTAAAACACTGACGGAGGGATCCTTTTCAAAGCGGGGCTATGTTTTCACATCCTCTTGAATTGCATGATCATGTTCTTTTGCGGATCTTTGAGCGAGAAGGATTTGAACGAGGATTATTTACAAAATGGGGGTAGCTTTGAGGAGATAGGGGGATGCTTGGGGCGGGAGAGCGAATTGCGGCATCACTGACGCATCCCTGTGTTTGTCCTCCTCCTCCTCCTCCTTCTCCTCCTTCCCCCCTCCCTCCCCGACCACAAGCCTGTTCAAAACCAATCAACCTTCGGACACTGGACCACTCCGACGCTCCGCCCTGGCCAGCTCTTCGTCCCGGATCGATTCCTGGCGGCCCTGAGGCTTGGAACGGTCCCTAGAGGCCGAAATCGAGGAAAAGCTTCGAACGCCGAAAACCCACGGAACTCGAACATCCACGAGAATCAAAGTCGAAAATTCCTGCTCGCCTTCCGCCTCCCCCGCTGTTCCTGGCGGCGGCCCCCGCCCGCCGCGCCTGCCGCCGAAGATCCCCCCCACCCGCGTCGGTGGACGACATCCGCACCGTGTGCTACGCGATGGCGGTGACGCGGCACCCGGTCCTGGACCCCGCCGCCGCGCGCCCCCCTCCCAGTTTCGCTGTTCGAACTTCGCCGATTTTCTCTCTGCTGGGTTTCCCGTCGATTCGGCCTCCAGTGGCCCAGCTGAGGCTCTGGGGCCGCCAGAAGTCGATCCGGGATTAAATTGTGGCTGGGGGTGGACTCCCAGGAGGAGTGCGAACCCAGTCGGAAAAAAATTAGACTGGGGAAGGGGAGGGAAGAGGAGGAGAAAGAGGAGGAGGAGAGCGGACCAGAGTAACCCCAGGATGCGTCAACGGCGTCCTGAGCCCCCTCCTCATCATTCCCTTCGTCGTTCCCCTCCTCGACAGTCCCTCCCCGAGGCCGCACGCAGGAGTGACCCCTTGCCGGAGGGACCTCTGGTGCGCGGCTTTCGGGGGACGCGCGGACCAAGCCCAGGCACGCAGGGCACGGCGCACGGCGAACGGCAGGCCCAGCGGGCACTTCAGTGCGAGTCGGTGACTTGGGCGGGCGTGGCATCATGGCGACGCCGACAACGGTAGACACGATTACGAGAGCGGCGGTGATGGTGACGATGGTGGCGATGACGACAGCAAGGCCAATGACGGCGCCGATGTTGATCACGCCGGCCGATAACGATGACGATGTCCCCGCGTCGGCGATGAAGGTTTTTGAAGGGGCCCGACATGCGCGCGCGGCCGACGCGAGTGGCCCGCGTGGTATTATTCGACACGGATCAGCACGCGCGCAACGGCGTTCGAATGAGTTCGACATGCGGCGCGATTGGCCCGTTTGGCAGAGTGTGGTGGAAATGTTGAGAAGGAAAAACGGAAATAAACAAAAATAGTTTCTTTCAGAATCCGCACGACTGCCAGCGCAGGTTTTTTAAGTTATTTCTTATATATTTAAAAATGTTGCTGAGAAACCATGTTTTTTTTTTCATCTTTCTGGGACACTCGTTTTTGGAATCCTTGCGAAACCTCCGGTTTTGGGATGATTCCGGCATGCGCGCGCGACGACGCGCGCGCACGCACGTCGTCCCATTTTTGCAAGGGGTTCTTGCGACAGCACGCGCGCAAGGGCTCTCGAACGATGTCGACATGCGCGTGCGAGAGGCCCGCGTGATAGCAGGTCATTAACAGCTTGAAGAGCTTACGATTCCATAGAGAATTCGCAAGAGCGCGGGCGCAGGGTTGGTTTAAAAACCTGCTTGCGAAACCATGTGACGTTATATATTTTCGGAACATTCGATTTCGAAAACCTCACGAAACCTCCGGCGCGGGAAAGATTTCGGCATGCGCGCGCGACGACGCGCGCGCGCACTTCGTCCCGCTGCTGTGGTAAAGGGTTTTGGAAAACTGATGATTCCAGATAAACGAGCGCGCGTATATGAATTCTTCAGTAGAGGATGACGGGCGGGGCGATACCAGCCTGCCTGAGACGGTATAACTTCATATTGGTGATGGACGATGGGACTGAGTTCCTATGCAACTTGCAAAACGATACGAAAACGACACGATGGCCGATTAACCCTGGGGGTCGGTGGTAGATATCAATATTTCCTGTGAAAGACGATTCTAAAGTGAAAGTTACGCGGCGCAATTGATCTTTGCAAATCAGTTGACACATTCCACGCCGTTGCAAACATCACACCCACCCACCCGCAGCTTGGCTTGCAAAACCCATGCGGCGGCGATTGCGATGAGTGCTTGGCGTTGGCTGTTGCATCACTGCGGCCGCACCAACCCAATCACGCGGGCACAGCGACCAGCTAGCATGGCGCGACCGACGCGGCCGTGGTGGCGCTGTCCGCTGGGCGCAATGATAGTAGCGATGCTAGTGACGACTTCGACGACGACGACGACGGCGCAGCCATTGTGGGCGCCGATGCTGATCACGCCGACGACGATGACGGCGCCCTCGCGTCGGCGATGAAGGTCTTGGAAAGAGTTCGACATGCGCGCGCGGCCGACGCGCGAGAGTGGCCCGCATGGAATTATTTGACACGGATCGTGCCCCCCAGCACGCGCGCAAGGGCGTGCGAGCGATTCCAGTGCGCAGCGCCAGATGCTCGCTTGGCAGAATTTGATGAAAATGTTGAAAAACTTTTTTGGAATTCTGTATGATTCGCAAAAGTGCAAGCGCACGTTTGTTTTGAAAATTGCCGTTGCGAAACCATGCGTCTGTTATATGTGTTTTTGGACACTCGGTTCTGAAATCGCTGCGAAACCGAAGGTTCTCGACGGGTTCCTGCGCGCGCGCGCGACGACGCGCGCGCGCAATCCGTTTAATTTGATGGCAAAGGTTTCGCGCAGTCGCACGACTTCTACACGCGCGCGCGAAGTCCGTCTGGTAGCATTTTTTTGAAATTCCGCGCTGCGAAACCTTAGATTCCCACACGTGCGTTTGGACATTCGTTTTTGACATTTTTGCGGGACCGAAGGTTCTCGAAGGATGCCGGCACGTGCGCGCGACAACCGCGCGCGCATTTCGTCAAAGCTGTCGTTTGCAAGGTGGTTTTGAAAGTTGATGATTTGTGATAAACAAGCGCGCGCCCATATAACTAGTTGCAGAGGATGACGGGGGGGGGGCGGCGGATACGGGCTCGGTTGGGATGGCACGAATTTATAGTTAGGATAGACGATGGGGCAGAATCAGACCCAAGCTGCAATACGAAAAGGGGGCGGGTAATCCCAGGGGGGTCGAGTCTAGGAAAGGAGAATCTACGCGGCGCAGTTGATCTCGACAAATGAGTTGACAATTCCCACGCCTCTGCAAACATCCCACCCACCCACCCGCAATTTGGCTTGCAAAACCCATGCGGCGGCGATTGCGATGACTGCCTGGCGCTGGCTAGGGCGGCATCTCTGCGGCCGCGCTCGCCCGCGCATGCTCGCGCGCACAGCGGCCAGCTAATTTGGCGCGACCGACGCGGCCGCGGCGGCGCTGACCGCTGGGCGCGCACAAGCGGGCAGTTCAGCGCGAGTCGGTGACTTGGGCGGGCGCGGCATCACGGCGACGCTGACAACGGTAGACACGCTTATGAGAGTGGAGATGATGGTGACGATGGCGGCGATGACAACGGCAAGGCCAACGACGACGCCGACGTTGATCACGCCCGACGACAACGATGACGATGTCCTCGCGTTGGCGATGAAGGTTTTTAAGGACATCGACATGCGCGCGCGGCCGACGCGCGCGGGCGGCCCGCGCGGCACTATTCGACGCGGATCGCGCCCCCCCCGCCCCCGAGCACACGCGCAAGGGCGCCCGAATGAAGTCGACATGCGGCGCGAAACGCCCGCCTGGCGGAATGCGATGACAACGTTGGAAACAGCTGTGTTTTTCGCGCTTTCTCCAGAACCCGCACGACCGCGAGTGGGGGATTATCTTGGAATTAATGTTGCAAAACTATATGTGCTTCTATTTGTTTCGCGACACTCACTCTTGAAAACCTTACGAAACCGAAGGTTTTTGAAGGATTCCGGCGCGCGCGCGACGACGCGCGCGCGCTTCGCCCATTTCTTGCAAGGGGTTTTTTTGGGACAGCACGCGCGCAATAGCGTTCGAACGAGTTCGACACGCGCACGCGGGAGGATGGTTTTGTTGGCATGTTAAGATTATGTATATGCATATACATGTATACATGGAGTGTCTTTTTTTTGAATTCTTTGGCAAAAAGCTGATGGGCTTCTCGGGAATGCGCAAAAGCACGGGCGCATGTATTTTGTTGAAAGCTCCTGTTGCGAAACCATGCTATTTTATATGTTTACGGGGCACTCAATTTGAAACCCGCGCGAAGCTCAAGGTTTTCAATGATGTAGGCGCACGCGCACGACGACGCGCGCGCGTGCACTTCACCCCGCGTTTGGCAAAGGATTCTTGAAAACTGCTGGTTGTTGATCAACGAGTGTGCGCGCATAAGTTTTTTGCAGAGGGTGAGGGGGGGGCGATACCGGCCTGCCTGGGACGGTACGTGCTCATATTTAGGATGGACGATGGGGCTGAACCATATGCAAATTATAATCGACAAGGTGGCCAGTAGATCCCAATATTTTTCAAGGAAGAGAATCTATGCCCTGCGATTTTTTGGTGGTGCAATCGATGCGGTGAAATTGTTTCGCGTTCGCAGTGAGCTGTCAATTCCACTGCTCGCGCAACCACTCCACGCATCCAACCGCAACTTGGTTAGCAAAACCAACGCAGCGGCGATTGCAATGACTCCTTGGCGCTAGCTGGTGCATCGCTTTGGCCGCGCTAGCGCCCGCAGGTTCTCGCGCAAACCGGCCAGCTAGTCTTGGCACGACAAACGCGGCCACGGCGGCGCTGACCGCTGGAGACTTCCCAGCGCGTTTCGCAGGCTGCACTGACGCCCAGGCACATCAATGCGAGTCGGGGACTCGGGCGGGCGCGGCACCATGGTGACGTCGACAACGGCAGACACGATGATGATACTTGCGATGTTGATGGCGATGATGACAATGATGCCGGCGAGGCCAATGACGGCGCCGATATTGATCACGCCGATGACGATGATGGCGTCCACGCGTCGGCGGTGAAGGTGGTAGACGGAGCTGCGCGCGCGGCCGAAGGGCGGGAGTGGCCCGTATAGTGTTATTTGACAGTGATCGTGCCCCCCCCCCCCCCCCCAGCAGCACGCCCGCAAGGGCGTTCGAATGATTCCGACAAGCCCTCGCGAAAGGCCGCACTTGATGAACATGTTGGAAAACCGACGGTCGCCGTCCGAATGTGCGAGAGCGCGCGCGCTAACCGTTTGGGGAAACTCGCGTTGCAAAGCCATCCGTTTTAAGATGTTTTGGACAATCGATATTGACACCCGTACGAAACCCAAGCTTCATGACAGATCTCGGCATGCGTGCGCGACGACGCGCGAGTGCGCACTTTTCCCGTTGTTTTGTTTTTGCAAAGGGGTCTTGCAAATTGGTGATTCGTGACAAACGATTGTGCGCGCATAGCGTTTGTTGCAAAACATGTTTCGAGGGGGTCGAA